TCCTTAAGTTGTTTTGCATTTTGTATAAAAGTCGGAGTTTTCTACGTTTTCGACGATTAGAAATAGTTTCTAAACCTGTTTCAAAATGTATTCTTTGATACGGGCATATGAAGGAAGACCGGATATAATTCGAGCAACTTCTCTTTGGGATTGCTCTAATTTTTCTCATTCAAATTTAGTACAAACATCCCATAGTTCATTAGCATATTCTAAAACTGGTAAAATGAATGATTTATAAATTCTTAAAAGACTATTCCTATTTAGCAAATATTTCAATCTCCTTAAGACGTTAATTTTCTTCATAACTGAACTATAAATGGCATTAATATGATCGCCCCACTTTGCGCTTGAATAAAAAAAAACTACTCCCTGATGTTTATGATGGTCTGTAAAATTTAAGTCTTTTCCATCAAATTTCAAATCTAATTTCAATGTTACCAACCAAGTTTTAGACCATACGTTTAAAGACTACAGATCCCTATTTAATACTGTTTGGATTTCATGACAAGATGAAGAAGACTGTAATAAAGAAGTATCATCTGCAAAACGACGAGCAGCTGATTCAAAGACATCGGCAATATCATTAATGTATATCAAAAACAAAAGTGGTCCAAGAATTGAACATTGAGGAACCCCTGCTTCGTTCAAACCTAATTGGGAATAAGAATTATTTAAGAAAACTTTCTATTGCCTATGAAATAAATAATTTTCTAACCAGGTATAGAATTCACCAACAATTCCGTAAGATTGTAACTTAACCATCAAACCATTCTGTCAAACCCGATCAAAAGCCTTGGAGATATCACAAAACACCATACATGTACATACGTGTTTTATTTCTTCAAGAGCAATACAAATGTTATGATAAATTTCAATGAGCTGATATACAGTAGAATGAGCATGCATAAAACCAGACTGGTACTTATAAAACAATGAGTTTTTTTGAAATAATTATGTAGGTGTTTGAAGATTACTCGCTCAATACCTTTTCCAACAGTAGATAAAAGTGAAATTGGCCTATAGTTAGAAGGAGAATGTCTGTCAACTTTTTTAAACAGTGGCATGACTTTGGCTTTTTTCCAAGCAGTTGGGAAGATACCTGCCGATAAAGACATATCACAAATAATTTCAAATGGAATACAAACAGACTGTAAGGTATTTCTTAACATATGATGGCTGATTCCATCCTCACCCGAGGCCTTGCCGAGGTTCAATATCTGTAGAACGTCATGATTATTTACTCTAATAGAACTAAACGTTATGTCAGTTTTTGGCTCAACAATAGGAACCACAGTGTAAGTATCATTTACTCGTGTTATACTACAAACATAGTCATTTAATAAGTTAGCTTTATCTTCGTCATTAGTAACATTGTCAGTATGAGGATCTACAAGAGTAGGTATAGATTGTGAAGTGCCAGTGGATTTTATTAACAGTTTAATAAGTCTCCAGTAATATTTTGATCAGAGGACGGGTACTCTTCAATTATACCTTGAACATTTTCATAAGATATAAAACGGGCATGCTTTTTCTTGTTGTTAACCTTATTACGTTGAGACTAAAATTTATTAACATCCTAAAGAAGCTTGGTTGACCTCGCGATTTTGTGCAACCTATCTCGAATTCTCAATTTTTTTCTTAGTTCGGAGTTCATCCAAGGTTTGTCATTTGGTCTTAAAGTGACAACTTTAGTTGGAATACATAAATTAGCAAATATTAGAAAAACATCAGTAAAACGCTCACATGCAATATCAACGGAGTCACAATTTAGGAAAAGATCGATCCAATTATAATTAGAAATAAGATCATTAAACAATTGAAAGTCTGCTCTCTTATATAGCCAAAGTTTACGCTTATAAATGGATCTAAAAGCACATGTAATTTTAATACAAGCAGTACAACCATCATGGTCACTGAAAGGTTATCAACTGATACCACAGAAGAATCAACACAGGAAAGTGATTGAGTTAAAAGAATAAGGTCGAGTAGGCTGGGTCTAGTCGGTCCGTTACGAGTAGGTTCATTTATGACATTGGTTATTAGTTTTATCCCAGTTAACTCGTTTTCCTTCTTTTCTCTTATCTGTTTCGTTGATAGTCTGTCAACAGTAAAGGTATGTTGTGGTAACGTTTGATCACAATTTCAACACTGCTAGGTTTGCGAGTGTCGTTTCAAAGTAAGGTCATTGCTCTTATTATTTACTTCAGAAAAAGAAATACCAAACTTGAAATGTCAAAATCCAAGATTGCTGCCTTAAGGTTGTGTCCATCATGCTTTTTGTCCGATCAGTCCCAATTCCGGACCATTTTTCTGGTCCAAGGGAACCCTTCATATGACATTTGAGTCTGATCTGTCACGTTTCTCTTGAAGAATAGTGCTTACAAACTTGAACTGTCAACATTAAACATGGCAGTAGGCGGCTATCACAATTTTCCCGAACAGTCAAAAAATTAAACGTGCTCATATATGGATCGAAAGGGAGGTACATATTAAATTATTAGAGATCTGCCGAGCACTTTTTGAGAAATAGAGATAACAAACGTAAACTGTCAAAACGCAAAATGGCTACCTAGTCTCCATCATGGTTTTTTTCCCGATCAGTTCCAAAATAAAACATGCACATTTTCCAACCAGTAAAATAATAAATCTATGCACAAGAATGGGCCATATGGAACCTACACATGACAGGAGAAAGGTCTGTCAAGCATTTCTTGAGAAATAGAGAAAACAAACTTGAACTCTCCAATTCAACGCTGACTGCTCGGTGGCCGTCTTGACTTTCGGACCATTTTTTCCGATCCAAGGGAAACCTCCATTTGAAATTTGAGTCTGATCTGTCACATTCTTCTTCGGGAATAGCAGTTGCAAACTTGAACTGTCAAAATCCAAGGTGGTTGTCTTGTGGCCATCATGTTTTTCCGATCAGTCTCAAACTGAAACATACACAATATTGATCAAGGAGACCTCCTTATGAAATCTTAGAAAGATCTGTCAAGTATTCTTTAGAAATTGCGATAAAATGCTTGAGTTTTCCAATTACAGGATAACTCCTCGGCGACCGTCTTGTTTTCCCGACAAGTCAAAAAAAAAGAACGAGCTTAACTATGGACCAAGGAAACCCGGGGCCCTCCACATGAAATACGAGAAAGATCTGTCAAGTTCTTCTTGTGAAATAGATCTAGAGATCACAAACTTGAACTGTCAAAATAAAACATGGCTGCCTGTCGGCCATCGTGTATTCCTTAGCAAAACTTGTACAAATTTGGACCAATGGGAATCTACCTAAACATTTTCATAGAAATGTCAAGTACTTCTTGATAAATAGCAAAATCAATCTTTAACTCTCAAAATCCAAGAGTGATGCCAGACTTGCTTTTCTAATAAGTCCCAAAACATATGAAGACAGGAAGTAGTAACGACCGTGCAAACAAAGAAACTTGTCAAATGTTCGAGGCAATCCGCCGCTTTCTCGAGACAGAAACATGAACAATAAAATACCACAAGATATAACAAAGATGAACAGTCATTATGAAACAATAATACAGCAAAAATTACATTAAAAAAAACATTTATCAATTATGTACATTGAAATATGTCCTGTCATCGCATAGAAATATATAGTAGTGTCCAATGTCCAAAGTAAATGAAAGTTTGTTATTATTGTACCAACTAAATATTTTTGCCATCAAACCCTAGAGTTTTTGTCAAGTTTAGATAAGCATTAATTAAGCCAAATCCTTGTTCGATATACCATCTATTTGAAAAAAAAATATCAAATAAAAATTCGCACTGTGGTGACACTGATATGTATGTGCGATGGGTATAATGGAGATACGTTAAGTAGGCACTATATAGTTCGCAATGTCTGCTCTAAACATTTGAATTTTTATAGGGATTTCATTTACACAAACTTTAAAAATGTAAACCTGATAAATCAAAGAATGCGGGTAGGTAGAATTTAGTCGTATATTGCACATGCATACCAAGTTTCACCAAAAGTGGCCGATATTTAAGCAAGTTATCTTGAGGAAACCAAAGTGTTAACGAACAGACGGACGGTCGCTCACCATACCATAATTACGTCCCGTAAAAACGGACAGACATCATTTTTCGAAATACATGATACATTGTGTACACGTAATACCAGAAGAATTTAGAAGGCATATGGCCCAATTCAAAATCACGCAACATGTTCTTTATCTTATTTTAAACAATAAGTTCTATTAATAATTGAAATATTATTTAACAATAATTCCCGACCAAACAGGAAAAACGCCCTCTCCCCTTTGATAAATTGAGATATCTTCCCTGTATGAGAGTTAGAGCAAAAGGCGCCTCGCTCGACATCTTAAAAAAAACGAAGTCGGAGTCATAAATAAATATACACAATGCAATTATTATAAAAAAAAACCGAGGTGGCCTGCACGGTTAAAAAATAGCTCCCTAGTTTAAGAAAAATATTTCCCCGTAGGCCTAGATAGTTTGAATTAAAGATATAATAAAAAAGGGAAAGTAATTGCTTAGTTTCTGCTATAACTTTAGTGTACATAGCTCAAACTAATCAGGTCACTGTGGACAATCGTTAACTATTTTTAGTAACATTTAGGTTATAAAAGCGATACACAAAACAGTTACAAAACATCAATTACACTATTGTTTGTGTAAATTGTTAGACTTTCAGTCGCTGGACAAGTATGATGATAAACTTGCTTTTCGTAACTAGACTTTAGCTTTTCCTTTGCCGGCTCTCTCGAAACGGATTTGGTGCTTACAATGTTATCCAAATATCCTGTCGTGACTGTTTTTTCATTCCTGAATGAATAAGTGGAACTTTTCTTGTGAATCAGTACAGTGCAAGAAGCCTAGCTAGTCAGGCGCATGATAACTTATTCACAATTTTAAACATTTCATTATTTTTTTGCAAATATAAGAACGATTTCCGTAGTCTGCATTGAACTTTTTTTTCTACAAGCCGGATTTTTTCACTGTCCTCCGTACCGTTTATTATGCACTTTTCAAGATGGCAGCCCCCAGTTGTTAAGTAAATGTAGGCCTAGTGCGGGTTTTCGCGGAAGGTCAGCCATAGCCATGATTCGGAATTTAACTTCAGTGGCAAAGAGGGGGAGGAATTGTTGTTTGATCAGGAGTGCTTTATTTTCAGAGACAAAAAACTTATCATCCTTTCAAGAACGCCGATCTAACATAGTTTTTCACCGACATCGCTCAACCTATGCTGAAAACAAATCTAAGGATCCAAATAATGAATGCCTGTTTCAGAAACGATATATTACCATACGGTCGTGCTACGACCTTTGGATAGATGTGCCTAAAGCAGGTTTAATTTTTGAAGTGGAATACTATGACTCTAGCCCTGATATGTCAATCGATCCTAAAGTTCCCCTAGTTTTAGCGCTGCACGACACTCCTGGAACAGCCGAAGACCTGCTCCCTGTTCTCAACCTGCTCGCAAAATTGGGATACAGAGTCATTGCTCCAAATTTTCCAGGTAACCACATAAACAGAGGGCAAAAGGCAAAAATGCATCACTCATGCTGCGAGGTGAACAAGATATATATATATATATATATCACATGCATAAACAAAGTGACGGAGGGGTATATTGTACATAAAACTCTGACACCTACATGATCATCTGCATTTTTATCATATAAGAGTAGTGTAACCTAACTGGCATAACTGCTTGGTAAATACATAATGTAGTCATTTACTATGTTGGGTCAAAGGAGCCTGAAATTCTGTCAAAAAATAATAATAACAGTAATACAAACAACATCTGGTCCTGATAGCATTCCATCCAAAATACTAAAAGAGGTTGCTGCAGAAATTACACCAGCCCTGATAAAACTCTTCCAAATATCATTAGACTTTGGATCAGTTCCGCAAGATTGGCGCGAGGCACACATTGTCCCCGTCTTTAAAAAAGGTGACAAACAAGCTGCAGAAAATTATCTTCCTGTCTCTTTAACTTGTATCACCTGTAAATTACTAGAACACATCATTCATAGCAATGTCATGGATCACTTAGAACTCAACAATGTACTCGCCAAATTTCAACACGGCTTTCTATCCAAACACTCTACGGAAACGCAACTAATTCTAACGGTAGATGACATCCTTAGGAACATAAACAACAAATCACAAACAGACATTGCGCTATTAGACTTTTCTAAAGCTTTGGATAAGGTCCCTCATGAACGCCTTCTTTCTAAATTACACTTCTTTGGCATTCGAAAGAGTACAAATTCCTGGATTATATCATTTCTAAATAACAGAGACCAACTTGTTTTATAAAATGGGACTAAATCTGACAAGGCCCCTGTCCTTTCTGGGGTACCCCAGGGGACGGTCATTGGGCCACTGTTATTCCTCATTTACATAAACGACTTGGTACAGTCAGTCTCCTGCAAGGTCAAACTGTTTGCAGACAATTTCTACTCTATAAGGAGATAATGTCTGAGGACGACTGCAAACAACTCCAGGCAGACCTTGCTAGGCTAGAACAATGGGAGACTGACTGGCAAATGAACTTCAATGCCAGCAAATGTTGTATAATCAATGTAACCAAAAACAAAGTCCCAGTTAAGTTTGGTTACCAGCTTCATAACACGCTGCTGGATAACCTACCAGCTAGCAAGTACTTGGGGGTTACTCTAATGGATGACTTCAGTTGGGGTAAACACATCCACTCCACTGTAAGTAAGGCTATAACTAACAAAACACTGGGCTTCCTGAGACGCAATATGTCATCATGCTCCAGGAAAGTCTAATCACAAACGTATACCACTCTAGTGTGACCGACTATCGAGTATGTCTCTACATGTTGGGACCCATACACCACAGAAAACATTGTACTGTTGGAAACCGTCCAATGTAGGGCTACTCGATATGTCTATAACAACTACAGGACCCGTGAACCTGGAAGTGTCACCAGCATGGTACAATCACTAAACTGGGTACCACTTGCACAGAGACAAGCAAAAGCAAGGGTTACAATGATGTACAAAATCTTAAATGACAAAGTAGCCATCTCCCCTAATGATCATGTTAAAGTGTCAGACCACAGAACTAGGGGAGCCCACAAACTCCAACAAATTTCTACTATTTCGGACAAATATAGAAATTCATTTTTTCCCAGAACTATCAGTACATGGAATTCTCTGCCCGAAGATATAGCCCAGTCACCTGACTTGAACCATTTCAAATCAGCTCTGTCTGCCTATCATCCTAAACAAACTCTACATTAACTCTTATCATGCATGTACGAGTATATAGTTTTATCTTATCATAAAATAACCAAAAACATTAATGCCACCTCCAAGATCACCTAAAATTGCGGCAACTGCACTCATATCTATGAGATCTGCCGCAGTAAATGGAAGAGAAAAAAAAAATGCAGCATAGCTGCTGGACACCAAACCTTTTAAAAAAATGACAGTCCATCAACCACAAGGGAACGAATCCTGCATGCTTGAGTCTCTTTAATTATAATTATATAAATTGTAAATGGAATTAATTTTGTCGTTCAGAATATTCCGTTCACACTCAATATCCTTACATTTTGCACTTACTATTGTCACTCAATAATTCTCCCACAGCACGCAAATGTACAGTTTTAACTGCAGATTTAGGCCTAATGTCAATGATTTGGTAATAACCTCATCTTCTGAGAGAGAGAAGCTGGGACATTATAATAAAGATGATTTACATAAAATATCATTTATACCTTTTGTCAAAATCCACAGCATGCAAATGTACAGTTTTAACTGCAGATTTAGGCCTAATGTCAATGATTTGGTAATAACCTCATCTTCTGAGAGAGAGAAGCTGGGACATTATAATAAAGATGATTTACATAAAATATCATTTATACCTTTTGTCAAAATCGCAGCTTTTTTTGCAAATATTTCTTTTGACTACTTGACTATTTTGGATAAAATATCAACTATCTTCTAGGTTAAAGCATCAATCATAGCCCCCTGTCCATAGTTATTACTTCTCGTGACAGCTATGAAAACACATTTTGCCACAACGCTGGTTTTATTTTTAGTTGTTATAATTAACACAGATTCGTTTTATACAAGTGAAATAAATATCGTATATTTAACAGGAAAATCATAAATTTTTCTATTTAAAAAAAACCCACCACGTCACGCAATGCAAATATGCTACATCAGAAAATTGTGGGAATGTGTAGCATAACTTTTGACGCCAAGTTGTAATGACGTCACGATAGACAACAATACAGAGCACCATTTTGAATGGATTTCACTGCAATTATGCCGTTTACGTGTATTATCTGGTAAGATTTGGACAATACTAAGGGTGACGTTTTTACTTGTGAAGATATATAATGTTACGTTTACCTTCACTGCATTAAAGATGTTTTTATCAAATGGAGAATTCATGATATTTCACTAGTTAACTGTAATAAATACCGATACAGTAGGGTTTACTATTATATTTTTGTAGACAGTATGCAGCCTCAATTTCCCAGAAGATAAAAATACCTATATTATGCTTAAAAATATGATATAGGTATTTTTGTTTGTATTATTGTTATTATTAATTTTTGACAGAATTTCAGGCTCCTGTGGTTAGGTACAGTATCCTGCTTGGTAGGCATATAGCCAACTGTCATTCTCCTAGATTATAAAATGTACGTTGTTTCTTTTTGTAATGTATATATAAATATTTTACAAACTGTTTTTGTGAAACAAACATCAATATATAAATGATCGCTTGCTAGAAACTACATTGGGATAATTGTGTAATACAACAAGACTAGAAGGACTAGGGGTGTTAAGGGTCATTTCTGGCCTCATTAGGGATTTAAAATCTATTGTTATATTTGTAATTTGGAATAATGGAAGTACATGTACACAGATATGATATTTCAAATTAATCTGACAACTGGTATAGGAGATATGGCATAAAAAAAGAGAGGTATAGATCCGCTTTTCCATTGTAAAATGTGTGAATATCATCTACTGTGAATGCTATTTCCATTGCAAATTGGCCATTTTGAGGCAAATTAATAAAACCCTCTTTAAAGTTTGATAGCCTACACATTCACCAAACAAATAAATATTTGACATTCTTAAACATTGTCATACCAATGTTCATTCAAAGAAATTTTATTGCTCTGGTAGGGCATCTAGGCATGTACATATCTGTACATTGTAGAAAAAATCTGCACCAAGAAAGATAGCCCCAGTTATTCAAAATGATGTTTATAACAGAAATTGGTAAATAAATTCAAGTTTATCATTTTTTACATTTTCATGAGGCCGAAATGATCCGTAATACCCCATGTCCTTTGAAAAAAATACAATAGGGATTTGGTGACTGCTGAAATTCTGCCGCAGTTACAGAGTTGATACAGCAGAGTTTGAGCTGCCACTATAACTCACTGTATCATAAATCTTGGAATAAATATCAAGAAGAGGCAACTTTCATACAGTAGGAAATAAGCAGGTATTCAGTGGAAATGATGTATTGTTGTAGCAATCATAGCACAGCTATAGTTTCTTAGGTAAACTACAGTGGAGCTTCAAAAAGTCAAACTACATTTCCCATTCCCAGAAAATGTGGACAATTTAGGAGGAAAGCAACTTTGTTCCTTAACTCATTCACCCCTGACATTTCATAATTCCATTCAAACCTTTGAATTGGAAGAGTTCAAATGTGTCTTCAGGGGTGATTGAGTTAAAGCATTGTTTTGATAGTTGGACAACCAGATTAGTGGTTGCTGGATACATATATGTATATAGTGAGGCAAGTTTAATAATTAAGACTTGACTTTGCATTTTATTTGTAGTTGTATTACATTGTGTTGCCAAGTGGACCCCCCCCCCCCCCTTATTTCTTTTCCAAATTCTTCAATCCAGACTTTTGAGTTTGCTTCTCTAATTTGAAATGCTTAAGACAATTTTAACTTGTTTTTAAGGTTGTGGCAAAACCAAATGGGTCAAGTGGAGGGATTGGAATGTCTTCACGGGAGCTCTGGATGAGAAGATGCATTTTGTATTTGACTTTCAGTCAGCATTAGATATACAAAGGTTTGTTAACATTTCAGTAATATTTCAGATTCTAAATTGCTGCAATACTGCATACAGATTTTTGCGGTAAATTATAAGAGGTCACTGATGTAATCTTAATGACATTGGTTTGTTGGTTGGAAACTATTCCATCCAATAAATATCTCTCAAAAACATATTGAACATATATTGCAATTACCAATATATACTGTATTTGGAAAAGATCTCATTATATAAGTAATAAAGAGTGTGACTGTGTCAATCATGGTAAGGGAGGAAATTCTTTTCAGGATACATGCTATATAGCAAATTTATATAAATGCGGTGATCAATCTACAATTTATTTTCATCGGTCGTTTTCAACTATTGCTAAAAATAATAGGTCCCAAAATGCTAAATTTAAATATTTCCAGAAATTCTATGAGTCCCATCAAAATTCATTGAGTAAAGGGCTCGAGACTCAAATGTAGATTCATCACTGTAAATGTAGTACCAAAAATAGCCATGTTTTATATAGTTTGTAAACATCATGATATTTGATTGGAGCGAGGGTTTATGGATTATCAAGGATATGCTATATATATATGTATTTGTTGTATAATTTGTGTTATGTGTGATGATGTTACAGAGTGGATGTAGCGCTGGGCTACGGTATGGGCTGTAGTACATGTGTCGCACTATCAGGAACAGACAGCAATATCTACAGATCAAATGCCCTCCTCTGTCCAGCAGAACACACTCCACTCAAGCCAGTTAAGTACGTTTTGTAGCTAGATAGACTAATACAGAATAGATACTAAAATGATTCAAAACAAGAAATTTTAAAATTCATCAGACCATTAGCTAAAGTGAATATTGATTTTTTTTGTCCATATATCATATGTGGGTAGTCTGGGGATAGGCTGCCCCAGCTACAACCAACAATATAAATGAAACAATTTCTATTTTCTTTACTCAAAAATCAACGTCTGTTCATTTTTTTCTTCCTCACTTTTCACACTCTCTCTTTTTTACCTCATTGTTTGTACACTCGCACAAACTCTACTCACACAGATGTAACAATAAAAATTAACGCGGAAATTTTGAATTCCTCTAGCCCTTCAGGTTTTTGAATACTAGAATTCACTAGACCATGAGGTTAAAGGATGTTGAATTTCACTAGTCTATCTGATTTGTGAATGCTAAAATTCACTAGACCATGAGGTGAGGGATGTTGGATTTAAATAGCCCTTTAGGTTTATGAATACGTTTGTACTAGAATTCACTAGACATCAGGTTACCTTTAAGGATTCACTAGAAATTCATGAGGTTTGTGAATACCTATACTAGAGTTCACTTTACCATGAAGTTAATGAATATTGAATTCACTAGCGGTGGATAATATATATTTATTTATGTATATATCATAAAATTGAATTATTTTATCTATGATAAGGGTGAAGTGATTTTAATCCAACTTTCTCATAATCCAATTGCCTTTTAATCAAGTCATCTTGAAATCCAATTGTTTTGTAATCCAGCTGTATCATAATCCAGTCATCTCGTTGTCATGTACAACTTTTGCTGAAATGAAATTTGCTGGATTATTGTTTCCCCAATGTATATATTTGTAAATATTACTTGGAGAAAGCGGTCGATAAAGTTCATGTTAACTTTTTTTATCATGTTTTTCAGGGGAAAGTTACGGCATGAGCAGGCTAGGAATCTGTTCACTTTGTGGGAGACCTTACAAACACGCCCATTTGTTTGGTTATACATGATTTTCAACAAGGGCAAGTATGGGTACTCTGGATACTCTGCAATGCAAGTAATCAACACAGCACGGGCTATGGCAGGCAGCCGCTACAAATCGGTAAATTCATTTATCCAGTCATTCCACTACCAAGTCAGCTTTTCAGATAGAATCATTGTTGTCACTTTATTGATGATAAATATGTGAAGGGTTTCTCAAAAAAGATTGGCGTTGGTACCTACATTCTTCAATAATCAACATTAAAGTACATTGAAATTGTTTAAATGTTTCATTATGATATTGATTATTATGCCTTGACTTGACAGTTACAAGGATTCATGGCAAGACTTCAAACTAAAGGCGTGCCATGTTGTATGGTGTATCACAGTGTGGCAGACGCTAAGGTCCCCCCAGAAATATCACAGGTGTATGCAGAATTATTGGGCATCAAGCCCGAAGACTTCATAGTATACCAGGACGACAAAAAAAATTCAAATCAAGGTGAACTTTTGTGTATTATGTTGTAATCAATTTGAAAAGACTTTTTTTTCTCTCCAAAAGATAGGCCTAAATTTTTCATTTTTTTATAACCTTTTATTTTTGCAAAGATTTTTCATGAACTTTGCATCATCAGTTTAGCGTTTTCATCAATTATCCTTCTAGATCATTTCACTAGAGGATGTATGTATGTAATCGAAGCCAATATCATGTTCTGTATACATATTGTGAAAAATATGCTTAAGGCAGAGGATAAATATGGTTCAGTTTGTCTGTAGACAAAATTTTGTCTGTACATGTCCACTGTAGTTTGCTTTCACAATGCTTAACTACCATCTTATGTACTACATATATAATGCACTTTGTCATATTGACAATTTTGGATAGAGTGATCTCCCTTGTACTTGGCAAATTACAGTATTGTTGTAATACTCTAAAATCTAAAATTTTAGACGATTTATTTGAAATCTGGTAAGGTTGATAACCACATGTAGTGGTAAATATTTATAAAGCATGAAGTTCCCATGGAAGGCAAACATATAATAAGGATGAGCCATATTTTATTTAGTTTTAGATCTTTAACTCAATAACTGGGACATTGAGTGGATATTCTCTTTCTACCATATAAGGAAGAATAGCCAAACTGTCCTGAGAAACTCACATTGAATAATATTTAACATTAGTAGACATTGTGTCTATGAGGTTAAACAAATATTTAGGAAATAGACCATTTTTTATCTGGTTACTAGTGCATTTAAATGTCCAAAATAGTATTTATTTGCTTATGCCATGGTGTGGCGACCGTCGTCCGTCCAGCGTCAAACTTTAAACAACTAATCTTCTCAATAACCAAGAGGCCTTAGGTGATGATATTTGGCCAGTAGCATGCTGGGAGGAAGGACTACCAAGTTTATTCAAATGAATGACCTTCGCCCATTTTCAAGGTCAAAGGGGTCAAATATGTAAAAATCTTTAAACAATTCCTCCTGAATAAGCAGCAGGCACAGGATGATGATATTTGACCAATCACAATACTAGCATGAGGGTCTCAGGTGTCAATTATCTTAAAGGGGCATCACGCTGAAGTAACTTTTTTTTTGTCTTTTTTCCAAATACTACATAAACATATCAAGTGAGACTCCTTATGGAAAATGCCGATCGGATTTGGCTGAAATAGATTCATAAAAATGATTAAATCTAAGATAATCATCGGTATTTCTACCTGTCTGACCAACGTTTTGTTCAGGGATTTCCCTCTACTAGCGCATGCGCATAGCACACCATTTCTTTGTAAACAAAATGACTGGCCGTGTGAAGTAAGCCAAAGAAAAGTGTTGTACCGTGTCAGCTACGAAGCGAATAGTTGCCAAATGGTCAAAAGATAGCGCAAGGGGTACGTTACGGAATCATTATTGCCAGTGGGAAGTATTCAAAGCAGAAAATAACTGCCCTAGCAGTCAGTACGGTGCATGTTTTCTTCCGGATAGCGGCCGGTTAAGCTGAAATAAAATCGACAGAAATGCTAGCGCTGTTTATGTTATGAATAAATATCTAAAACTATTAACCTCGCTAGTATCATTGTGTGAGTTTGAACACAGATGAACTTAGTTTAATATGTTAATGGGCATGTATCGGAGAGAGTTTACTTTGTGTTTTTTTTAATTATACAGTGGTTTATGCAAACGAAAGGGATAAGTGACTGGTTAGTTTGATTTTGCCATGAGGCCCCCCAAGGGATAACTGCTGTGATGGCCACGGCGTATTCTGTTCTCTGATCCTCTGTCGGTGCTCGGGGTCAAATGAGATACGTGCGCTATTAGATTTACATAATTTATAATATTACCGGGATCAGTAAAATGGTATGATTTAATTATATTGCTGAATTAAACGATTGTTTTTTGTTTTGACATGCAAGTTTTAAATTAGTACTAATATAATACCCGGCCTGCCCTGGCGCGACGACGCAATATATAAAAAAAAAATCGCTCTTCGTCAGAAAGCTACGTTATCGCAGCTAGATTAAAAATGTCAAAATGACGGACCAGGATGAATAACTGAGGAAGGAGAACCTACTTCTAGTAAATAGGATCGCATAACACTTTTTTTTTAAATCGTAATTTTTCAACAGTTCATGTTTTCATATGATGTTGACTTAGAATGTATGATCATGTAACAACCTTTTCTCTATAAAGAATAAATTTTCGACTTCAGATAGAATCGGAATACGTATTGAAAACAGGGGAAAAAATATTTGATTACGTTATAAAAATGGCGCGTGCTGCCGATAACTACGGCTTCTGTTTCGGACCAAAGGAACTGATTAAAGAAAAGTTGTCTCAGCATAAAAAGGTCCATTTAAAAGTATGCTTTAATCTCTGTAAAGTATTGAAAAAATATAATTATCAAGTATCTCAACACGTTCCTTATTGACACATATTCTACATGTACACGTAGTGGTTTTGCCATACAGTTTATTGTGTGTGATGGTTAATATGACTTCCTAAATGTTAGCGTTTGGAGACAGTGAAAGTGGGAAAGAGAGTATACATAGATTTATATTCATGGTCTAGAAAAAAAATGGCCAAAGACATTGAGTTGTTTAATGTAATAAATAAATTCACAAACGTTTCCTTTTTATATTCGCGTGTAGTTTGTCATTGCATATATGCACTTTATGTAAACATTTGAAAAGGGATATTCGTCTCGTGAATATTCCTTTTTACAGAAAGGTTTGTCCCATTGTTGAGGGAGTGTTTAGCCCCGTACCACCTGTACCGGTCACGGGAGAAGGCTGTGATAAATTGTAAAAACTTGTGCCCCATCCTTTGTTTAATTTTATTGGCAACAAATTTATGTTAAAAGCTAAATAAATTTAAATTCTTAATATTGGCAAGTGTGCAATTAACTTCTGATGATGAATAATTACTGTTCAATAAGTTTGAATACGGAATTAGAAATCATATAACTTGGTTTCATAGTGCGGTAAGAAGTTGCAGTTGCCTGACGGCCCCTCTCTGAGGGCCCCTTTGTAAACCGTTTCATCTCGCTCGCACCACTTGTGTTTGCTGCCTAATCAGGTGACATTATCGGCGCTATTTTTAGCCGGGCTTTCCCGAACAATTCAAGTGGTCAAACTGGACATTTGGAACGGACTATGAATATGGGGATAGCGAGGTAACATAAGTGGAAGTGCATACAATACATACATTCATTAAAAAAAAAACGCCTTTTCACGTGATGTCCCTTTAACAGGTTCTTATGAATGACTTTTAGACCAGACACTGGTATTTTTCCTGTAGCTGTATTTTAGTTCACTTTTAAGGTAACAATTGTGAGATTAATACCAGGTAAGCGATGTAGGCCTATTGGGCCACTTGTTTATGGCTCCAGGGATAGAGCCAAAGCCATTCTCTTGTATCGGTATATTTCTGTAACCTCTTGCTTGGATACCACCCAGTATTGAGGAGGAGGATAATTGACCAGTAGCATGCTGGGATAAAGTGCTGCAGTTTACCAAGTTTGTTAAACTCAATGGATTTTATCCCCTTTCAATGTCACAGGGGTCAAATATATCAAAGTCTTGTAAAAACTTCTTTTCAATACCCAAAAGACCCAGGATAATGGTATATGCTGAGTAGAATACATGGGAGAAGGACTACAAAGTTTGTTCAAATGAATGACTGTCAAGGTCACAGGGGTCAAATGGGTTAAAATGGGTTAAAATCTTAATACAATCTCTTCTCAATCACCAAATGGCACAGGATGATGATATTTGGGCTGTTGTTTAACTTAGCCCATTTTAATTTTGAGCTTATGCCGTGGCGCGGCATCCGTCCTCCATCTGTCGTCCGGCGTCAATATTTTACTTTAAACGACTTCTTCTTAATAACCGAAAGGCCTAGGGTGTTGATATTTGGCCAGAAGCAAACTGGGATGAAGGGCTACAAAGTTTGTTAAAATTAATGACCCTGACCCATTTTCAAGGTCACAGGGGTCAAACATGTTAAAAAACTTTAAACATCTTCTTCTCGATAACCAAACTGCCCAGGGAGATGATATTTGGCCAGTAGAATGCTTGGGTGAAGGGCTACCAAGTTTGTTCAAATGAATGACCTTCAATTATATTCAAGGTCACAGGGGTCAATTGTCTTAAAAAAACTTTAAACTTCTTCTCAATAACCAAAATGCCCAGGGTGATGATATTTGGCCAGTAGCATGCTGAGATGAAGGGCTACAAATTTTGTTCAAATGAATGACCTTCACCTATATTCAAGGTCACAGGGGTCAAATATGTTAAAAACTTTAAACAACTTCTTCTCAATAACCAAAATTCCCAGGGTGATGATATTTGGCCAGAAGCATGCTGAGATGAAGGGCTAGAAAGTTTGTTCAAATGAATGACCTTCTCTTTTATTCAAGGTCACAGGGGTCAAATATGTTAAAAACTTTAAACAACTTCTTCTCAATAACCAAAATGCCCAGAGTGATGATATTTGGCCAGTAGCATGCTAGGGTAAAGGGCTATCAAGTTTGTACAAATGAATGACCTTCACCTATATTCAAGGTCACAGGGGTCAAATATGTAAAAAAGACATTAAACAACTTCTTTTGAATAACCAAAATGCACAGGGTGATGATATTTGGTCAGTAGCATGCTGAGATGAAGGGCTACAAAGTTTGTTCAAATGCATGACCTTCACCCATATTCAAGGTCACAGGGGTCAAATATGATAAAAAAATTAAACAACTTCTGAAGAACAACCAAAATGCCCAGGGTGATGACATTTAGTCAGTAGCATACTAGGATCAAGGGCTACCAAGTTTGTTCAAATGTATGGCCTTGAATCATATTCAAGGTCACAAGGAGAAAATATGTTCAAAATATTAAAACAACTTGTTCTGAATAACCAAAGGCTCAGGATGTTGATATTTAATCAGTAGCATGCTGGGATCAAGGACTACTATGTTTGTTAAAGTGAATGACTTTGACTTATATTCAAGGTCACAGGGGTCAAATTTGTAAAATCTTTAAACGACCTCTTCTGAATAACCATGGGTCCCAGGATGTTGATACTTTGCAAGTTGCATCCTGAGATAAAAGGCTATAAAATGTGTTCAACATAATGACTTGGTTCGACTTTCAATCACAGGGGTGAAATGTTTAAAATGGTACTTTTGAATGAATTTTAATCATAAATTCTGATATTTTGCCTGTAGCTTTATTTTAGATCACTTTTAAGGTTACAAGTGTGAGATTTATACCAGGTGAGCGATGCAGGCCCATTGGGCCTCTTGTTTTTAATATGTACTAGTGTGAGATTGATATGTACTAGGTTAGCGATTCAGGCCCATTGTGCCTTTTGTTTTTATTAAGTATGTCTACCGATTTCGCCCAAATGATGGGCTTCTTTAGGACCAACAATTGCGATTGAATTTCATACTTGGTATCTATTTAATCGCAGTGACAACGAAAAGTATTTCGAAAGAGAGAAATAGGAAATGCATGTATAAGCTTCCTCAGGGGTATATTCAATACAGACAGACTTAATATATAAAGCTGCTAAAGTACTGAATCTTGGTAGTATTTATGTCTGTATAAATATGATTATTTTGTGTAAATCATTTAAATGTGTGAAATTTTGTATTTTCAGGTAAAACCCATTTTCCAAAAGGACTGAAGGTTGAACATGAAACACCAGTGCTTTTAGAGACATATTCTAAACCAATAGCAAGAATGATACGTGGCGTTGTGAAGACATTAAGTTTTTGAGTGCCCAATCAGTCTCTTTAGAGGGGAAATCTTCATGTTTATTTTAACTAATAAAAGTCAGATTCCGAATTTGAAATGAAAATAAAGAGAACAAAGTATTTACCTCTTGTTGTGTAGACTTTAATTCTACTGTGTGATTCGGTATGACCTTGTTGTATAGAACCATTAAGACAACTATGTGATCCTGTATGACCTTGTTGCATAGATTCATTAAGTCTGTGTGGTCCTGTACGACCTTGTTGTAAAGAACAATTAAGTCTACTGTGTGGTCCTGTATGACCTTGTTGTATAGAACCATTAAGACTACTGTGTGATCCTGTATGACCTTGTTGCGGAGATTCATTAAGTCTGTGTGGTCCTGTATGACCTTGTTGTGTATATTCATTAAGGTCATAGGAATGTATTGCTAAACGGAAATAGGAAGTACTTACATCCCTAGTTGAAAATCCAATGTAGGGAGACAGTATTACAATTTCTGCATTTTCTAATGTTTAATATTAAACTGATGAATATTGTATGTTTATTATTGACAGAACAGTGTGTTCTTTCAATATTAAAGTATTTCAAAGCAATCCAGGCACTTATTCAGTTGTTTTTTAATCAATGAGTCACATGTGTCCATTGTTCTGTACTTCAGGAAATTGACTACCTATTTCACTACTGTAAAGTTTTTCAAGAACGATAACTTTTACATGCAATTACTATGTGTAAATGGTTTTATAATAAAATGTCAATTTTTAATCATTTATAGATAATTAATTTTACACAATTTCAGCATTTATGAAATTGATATACATTAATGCAATACTAATCTATGTCAGTATCATTTTTATTGACATCGTTTTGCAAAACATTGTGTGTTTCATTTTTTTTCAAAACTAACTCCTTTTTACATAAATTTCCATTTAAAGTCCTTAAAATTCTGACAACCTGTATTTTTTTTGTGGCAGAACATTTTCTTTACTTCAAAGCAATATAACTACAAAATTTGAAGAAATTCTACTGAGAAATGGCTACACAATCCTATTACCTTAAGTCTACAGGACCACACCGTAGTATTAATGGTTCTGTACAACAAGGTCAAACAGTGCAATACACTAGTCCTGACGCCCAATCAACGCAACGATGTTATACAAGACCATACACTAGTCCTGACGTCCGATCAACACAAAAAAAAAGTCATAGAGGACCATACAGTAATCTAGACGTTACATCAACACAAGAAGTCATACAGGCCCACACAGTTGTCCTGACGCCCCATCAACACAAAAAGGCATACAGAACCACCATCATCGCAAGATCCGAGGGGGCATACGGTCTTACCTTCCAATTAACAAAATGTCTTACACTCTTTTAGGGTTATAAACACCTAACAGACAGTAGTCTAGCGGAACACCAAATCAATAAGGTAATACAGGAGCTGTTTTGACCGACCATCAACACAATAAGGTCACACAGGGGCAGACAGCTGTTTGACTGACCCTCAACACACTACGATTATACAGCTGTGTTAACGGACCATCAACGCAACGAGGTCATACAGGGGCATACAGCTGTTTTGAAGAACGATCAACACATTAAGGTCACACTGGGGCATACAGCTGTTTTGACGGACCATCAACACAATAAGTTCATACAAGGGCAAATAGCTGTTTTGATCGACCATCAACACATTAAGGTCACACCGGGGCATACAGCTGTTTTGACGGACCATCAACACAATAAGGTCATACAGGGGCATACACCTGTTTTAACGGACCATCAACACAAAAAGGTCATACAGGGGCAAAGAGCTGTTTTTATGGACTGCCAACACATTAAGGTCACACTGGGGCATACAGCTGTTTGATGGACCATCTACACTATAAGGTCATACTGGGGGATACAGCTGTTTTAACAGACCATCAAAACATCAAGGTCATACTGGGGCATACACCTGTGTTGACGGACCATCAACACCAAAGGTCACACTGAGGCCTTCGGCTGTTTTGACGGATCATCAACGCAATAAGATCATACAGGGACAAACAGCTGTTTGCTGGACCATCATCAAAATAAGGTTAAACAGGGGGCGGGGCATACAGCTGTTTTGTCGGACCATTAACACAATAAGGTCACACTGGGGCATACAGCTGTTTTGACGAACGATCAACACAACGAGGTCATAGAGGGGCAAACAGCTGTTTTGACTGACAATCAACACAACGAGGGCATACAGCTGGGGGTTTTTCGGACCTTCAACATACAGGGGCATACAGGGGCAAACAGCTGTTTTGACGGACCATCAACATAACAAGGTCATACAGGGGCAAACAGCTGTTTTGACGGACCATCAACACAATAAGGTCATACAGGGGCATACAGTTGCTTTGACAAACCATCAACACAATAAGGTCATACAGGGGCATACAGTTGCTTTGACGGACCATTAACACAACAAGGTCATACAGGGGCATACAGCTGTTTGTCGGACCATCTACACAATAAGGTCATACAGGGGCAAACAGTTGCTTTGACGGACCATCAACACAACAAGGTAATACAGGGGCATACAGCTGTTTTGACGGACCATCAACACAATAAGGTCATACAGGGGCATACAGTTGCTTTGACGGACCATCAACACAACAAGGTCATAAAGGGGCATACAGCTGTTTGCACGGACCATCAACACAATAAGGTCATACAGGGGCATACAGCTGTTTGTCGGACCATCTACACAATAAGACCATTCCAGGACACAGCGTTGTTTGACCAAAGCCTCAGGTCTCCTGCTCAACATTTTATCCCTTGGGTTTGAATAACCTTATCCATACCTCACATCAGGGATGGATTCTATTAATCTCAGTCGAGAGTTAAGATTCTGTAACAAAATCCCAACCGAGGCATAAGCCGAGGTTTGGATGTCACATAATCTTAGCCCGAGACTGAGATAACCCGATTTTTTTCAGTTCCAGATAATTGATTTTTTTTCTCGCACCTTTTAGTTCGAAAAAAACCTATTCAATTTTGCTAAAAACTACAAGTACCCCGCCTTTGGGTCTCAAATGATAATGACCTCTCCACCACTTAAGCTACATTTGAATGCCTCCGCGTAAAATTGTAGTCCGTCCTTACATATATAGATTACAACGTATTTCACAGTGTAACTTATATCTTATCTACAACATCAAATATCTAACAACATCAAAACTTTACATACATGTTTAACGACAAACAGAACATTTGTAATGCAAATTGACAATTTTAAGCAGTTAACGCGCGGATGAATACATCGCAGTGTAAAAATTCCCCTGAAATGTCACGTAAAGGTACAAGAAAGATCGGACGAGATAGACAAATCTAGCATGGAGTATGACGTGGGATATCACTGTCTAAGGTGCGAGAAAAAGTGTCCAGACTAACAAAGTTCTACTTTACGCCCTAAATATCCAGACTAAGGAGATTCTTCTGTCCACAAGTCGAACACCGACTAACAAGGTTGTATTGTACAAAAAAGGAATGTCTGAACTAACAAGGTTCAAGTGTACACATGAAATAAAGTGTCAAGAATAGTAAATATCAGACTGTAATGAACACAAAATCCACATGTCACACTAATGTCCAGACTAACAAGGTATGTATCCGACACACATACCCACGTATGTACACAAAACACATGGATGCACGTCCTTAAAGGACCTTAGCTGTTGATAGGACGTGAAACCTTATCAAACAAAACCAAACTAACAGGGTTCTACTGTACACACACAATGCATGTGGCAAAGGGTAAAACCAAATAGTGCCAAAGAGTGCCAACTAACAAGAAAAAAGTTCAATTGACAAATGTCTCCAGTGCACATAAACCAAGGTGTGCAGATTAACATTGTTCTAGCATCAACACATTTCCGTCGTACACATGCTCAAAATGTGAAGCAAGCATCCATTGTATTCATACACCTGATCAATGTCAAGGCCGACAAGAGATTCCCTTTACACACCAACCAAAATGCATGGACTAGAAAATTTAAAGCTCCACTCTACATTATTGCCATTTGCATACAAACTGATTTCGTTAACGGATAACTTGTACTGGCTCTTATACAAAAGTCGATTGGTCATTGAAATAACCCATCAAAGCGTGTCTCTCCACACACAAACATTCACATATACGCACGTATTTAACTTTTTCACTAAAATGTGTTATAAATTGGAAATGAGGCTCTACATTTATTGTTATAAATCAATCAGGGATAATGATCTGCCCTCGTCGATACAGGATTAAAGCGTACAGTGTGAATCAGACACGAGCGCTGTTCAACTCCGTAAGCTTAATGGCCTTTCAGTTCACATTCTAAAAACATATTGATCTTATTTACCAAAACCAGTAAAGTTACATCGAAATCGAAGCACACCATTAAATCCTATCTCTTAAAAATAACAACATTAAACAAACTAAAATAAAATTATTGACCATTAAATAAGTAAAGTATGAAAGAGATGTGTAGGTGTTTAATAATGGATACCAAAGTCCCATCTACATGTATTTTCAAAATTACGGAGAAAATTTGTTCTGCTACGATTTCGGTTCCAGGACAGAAAGTTTATAAAATGTGTCAGTTTGGTTATTGATACCCATTAGTGAACGGTATCACACTATATATGTACATGTATGTTACATAAATGACATTTTAAGGTAACCTTGAATCATTGGTATTTTTACATGTAGTGTAATTTTCAAAATGAACAACAAAATACGCATTTCATTTGATTCAAAATATTCACTCTCAAATATTATTCACTAAAAAACCGAGGTATAAAGAATATGCACAGAAAAGAGTACATGTCAGTAATATAATTAGTTACTGATATTTCACAAGATGTTTATTTTCGCGTTGACTCAAGAGGATCTTATCTTGACTATCTCGCGAGTACGCATTTCGACACAATTAGAGAAGGAACTTCTACTTTAATAGTAAAAGTGTCTTTCGCGACCTCAATTTCTTGCTTATAAGTCGCTAGAATACAAATCGCGAAAAGAAGTATTCGTGAAAATGGAGTGAAAGACAGTACAAACCACACATCACATGTATACTTCGTTGGGATAGTTTGTTTGTTTG